CCAATCACTTTGATTCCCTCTAGGAATTCCAAAAGGGGTGTTGCTTGTAGGAAACTCCTTGGATATAAAAGTGTAGGAGCAATAATTTTTAATAGATTTTCACTCATAACGAGAAAAATCCTAAGTATACATGCTGGAATTGTTGGAACTTTTCTTTATATTTCTTTAATTATTATTTGAGGGGATTTGCATTATACACAAATTAAATTATGCGACAAGGGTGCCTAACACCTTCCCTCTCCCCTCCCATGTGGTGCCTAGAGATTCTATTAGGGTATGTCAGTCTTGTTTCTTAGTGTTTTTAAGCATGGAAGGCCCATCACTCCCATGCCTTTCAATAGATGAGTGGCAGCTCCATTAGAATTTAGCAATGGAGTGAGCCCCAAATCAATTAGGTGCTCAGAATTGGTGACTCAATTGGGGATGAGAGAAGGTGTGTGTATGTCATTCCCTTCTTCCCCTTGAGTGGAGAAAACACACACTCTTGAGCCTTCATAATGTTCTTGTCTTTCTCACAAAAAATTGCTTTCTATTGTATTTGGATTCTTGTTTATTGTTTTTTATATATATATATATATATATATATATATTTACCTTTTGGAAGGGAGAGATACATTATTTGGATGCATGAACACTTACCCTCTTGCCCCTACCTCTTTACTTGTTTTTTTCCCATTGGTTTCTCAATTGCAAGTTATGGATTTTATATTTATTTACTTTTTCTCCTCTTGTCTTCTTGAATTTGGGGTTGGGAACGTATTTTCAAGCATGAGAAAGAGGCCGGAGGCCGGTTGGACTGTCGACAACTAGCCGCATTGCTAACTCCTCCCTACCCTTTTTTGTTTTTTGCAATGCAATTACCTTTTTGGACTCCTTATGTTGTTTTTTTTTTGTATTTCAATTTGCGGATTAATGAAGGGAAACTTGTTTTGGGAAAAGAATCACTTGTTTTCTTGAATATATATTCCTTTTTTGTTTCCAAACAAGATAGGCACTATCAACAAAAGTGGTGTTTACATAGTATTTTCTAGTCAATAATGAGTCAATATTGCTTTGAAAAGCCTCACTTATATCTATTTTGTTTTATGGAAATCCATTAAATCTTTCTACTTAAGGAGGGCTGTTCATGTGTTTTTTGGAACAATATCATGTTTCTTGAAGTGTTCTAGAAACTGTCAATATTTGGGGCTGAATTGCATATCTTTCTCTTCCATCATTTCTTTCCTTCTATTCCATATTCATGTTGTTGTATCATCACAAGTTTCTCACATCTCTTCTTCAGCACATAATATGGGCATATTTTGAATTGCCAATGAGTGGCTGCATTGTGGACATTGTACATAGCATTTGGAGAGTTTTGGGTCTTCTTCACTTGTTGCTTTTTGCTAGTGCTTTAGGGCTGCTAGAAGGTAAGCTCATTTTCCCTCAATAGTTCTTTTGCAACTTGAAATTTTGAAGAAATATTGGTATGATATGAAGCTCCTCACGCATCAAGTTAACATGGGTTTAGAGGGATGCATATCAATGGGAACGAGACATTCAATTGATGTTTTAGAATCTCAAATCCATGATGACTTGATGATTTGCAATGAAATTCCTCATTATTGCTGAAGTTCGATTCATGCTCAACTATGCAAGTGACACATGCTTGTTTATTTGAAATGCTTGAATTGTTTGTATGGTATGGGGTTTTTCAAGCATTAAATTGGCATGGGTTTAGGACATACACGTCAATAGGAATGTTATATTCCATGAATGTTTTATGGTCTTAGATCCATGTTAGTTTAATTGCTTGCATTCCCTTATCATGGACAGGTCATTTACTCATGCTCAATTGTGCAAATAGCATGTTATCAAGGGTAGTTAAGAATTATGATTATGCTGAATTGAAGTTTGTTGGATAACATGTGAATGGTATGATGGCTTGATTGAATGTTTTTGTGTTGAAATTATGTATAATGTACAATCATTTGAAGTTAACATGTTAGAAAAAAAAGCATGACACTTGGTACTTAATACATGTTGAAGTGAGATGCTTTTTGTTTTCAAGACTCATAACATGAGAACCTAGTGACATATAGCATTGACTTGATCACCCTTAAGTCTAGCTTCCTTGGGAACATAATTTTGATACATATGGCTGAAATAATCCAAGAGAATGAGCAACTGAAGAAGGTTAAAATGAAACAAAAAACCAAAAAAAAAAAGAAAAGAGAAAAGATAGAAGGTAGAAATTAAGAATAAAATTGGATAGATTAGGAGTGAGTTTTAGATATTTAGTTAAGCAAAACTGTGAAGAAAGTAGGGGTAGGTTAGGATGTTCTAGGTTTTTTTTAGTTAATTGATCAAGCTTGAGGCTATTAGGATGTTATTATCTAATTGATCAAGCTTGAGACTATATGCTCAATGTTGTAAGAATAAATCATTAGGTAATAGTTTAACTTTAAGAAAGATGTTATTAGGTTGCTTGAAGCAAGTAGTTGGCTTATGTTAGGATAGTATTTAACTTAATTTTTTGGTAGAAAATGCAAAAAAATAAATAAATAAATAAAAGGGAGGCTAATTCAAATTGGATTTGCTTAAAAAGAGAGAGAAATAAAACAAAAATAATTTTTGGATCAATCATTGGTTTGGGGAGATAAGAGAGGCGTCTAGAGCTGATTTTCTCTTTGAAGATGGGTGAACTAAAGTGTTTGGGTATAAGGATTCCTAGATCATGAGAAGGCCTTGGGAGCTTAATTTAATCAAATTTATTTCGGGCCTTATTTGCAGGACAAAGTCACATGATATGGACTGAAACCAATCCTAATTCTAACATTAAAAATAAAAGAAAGGAGTGAGAAAAGGAATAATGAGATGGCAAATTAGGGAGGTAAGATAGGAAATTAGCTAGTGTGTGAGGTGGAATATGTATAAACATAGAGTCATTAAAATTCTGCCATGATTAGTTCTTTAGGATTTCCCCCCCCAAAAAAAATACAAAATAGAGAAAAGAAAAATGAAGAAGCAAAGTAGAGGGTTAGAAGGTGAAGATCCAAATCTAGACCCAGGCCCATTTAAATTATGAGCCCATAGCATTGTAGAAGCCTAACCTAGGTCAAAGCCAAATAGGCTTAGGCCCAAGCCCATTTCCCCTTAGTGTCAAACTAAGCCTTGACCCCAACCTATAGCAACCTAGAAGCCTAACCTAGGCCAATGCCAAATAAGCTTAGGCACAAGCCCATTCTGCCGTAGTATACAATTAAGCCTAGGCTCAAACCCATTACCACCTAGAAGTCCAATTCAGCCAAGGCCAAATGGTCCCAAGTCCAATCCCATCTCAACTTAGGGCCCAGCCCAAGACCAAAGCCAAGAAAGCTTACGCCCAAACCCATCTCAACCTAGTAACTCACTAAGGCCTGAGTTCGTTCTAGCCCAAGCCCAATTCGACTATAACCCAATTTAAACCTTGAACAAACTAAACTTAGGCCCACTGCCATTTCAACCTAGCATCCAAGCAAGGCAAGACCCAAAGCCCATCCCAACCTAGGGCCCAACTTAATCTCAAACCCAAACAAGTTTAGACCCAAGCCCATTTCAACCTAGCACCAAGCCCATCTTAACCCAGGGCCCAACTTAGTCCCAAACCCAAATAGGCTTAGGCGCACGCCCATTTCAACCTAGCATCCAAGCAAGCCAAGACCCAAGTCCATCCTAACCTAGGGCCCAACTTAATCCCAAACCCAAACAAGTTTAGACCCAAGTTCATTTCAACCTAGCATCTAGGCAAGCCAAGACCCAAGTCCATCCTAAGCTAGGGCCCAACTTAATCTCAAACCCAAACAAGTTTAGACCAAAGCTCATTTCAACATAGCATCCAAGAAAGTTTAGGCCCAAGCCCATCCTAACTTGGAATTAACTTTGTCCCAAACTCAAACAAGTTTAAATCCAAACCCATTTCAACCTAGCATCCAAGCCAGCCTAGACCTAAGTCCATCCTAACTCAGGCCCAACTTAGTCCCCAGCCCAATCAAGCTTTGACCCAAGTCCATCGTAACTTAGAACTCAACTTAATCCAAGTGCAAATAGATAGATAGATAGATAGATATTGGTTTAGTTAGCCACCATTTTTTTTTTAGGTTAACCAAAAACCAAACTAGTCCATCAATTTTTCAAAATACTGAGATGATCAATTTGATTAACCGCATATTTCTGCTTGATTTTCTCGGTTCAATTTGGTTTTTGGTTTTTCAATTTTTTATGAGCATCCCTAATGTTGAGGAAGACAAACAAACTCTTGACTGAGAGAAAGAGATACAAGAGACGCCAGAAAATGAGAAAGAGATATAGCAACAGAGAGGTGAGGGAAAGGGAAAGAGGGAGTGATTAAAATAACATGGCCGAATAGATAGTGCTAAGAATCTAGACATGCCATTTATTTACCAAGAGAGAGAAAGAGATCCCACTTGCCTTTTCACAGTGAGAGGCCACATGTCAGCCTTTCCGAGACCCCCTTCCCTAACTCTATGTTTGATTTGAAGGAAAAAATAGGAAAAGGAAAGGAATTGTAAGAAAACCTTTACAACCCTATTTTCTTCCTTCAGCCTAATAGCGGTGGCTAAGTTGTAAATAACCTATGAAGTCGTTATATGATGCCATTTGCTGGAAGAGCGCACCCCTCCTGCTGATGTATGGTTTCATATTAGGAGGGTGTTGGAACGTAATTTATTGACAGGTAAAATATAAGAATTTCCAACACCCTCCCAACACAATATGAAACTGCACATCTTGTCATGAAATTGGGACCGATCATAAAAGTGAAGATGTTGGGTGTTCGATTGTGTTGGGAGGATGTTGGAATGGTATGTACTCTAGACTATATATCTATCTAATAATGTATATATGTTTTGAAAATCTATATATTTACATAACATCTCAATTATATATATTATAATATGACATCTCAATTAATCTTTTTTTTTTGGGTAGAAAGCCTAATCAATCAAAAAATGAGATGTGCCCTGCTGCCCAAATCAGACCCCTAAAAAAATTGTCTTAATATTCCGCATTCACAGTGCGCTGTCTTGGTCGCGTCTAATACTTTATTCCATCTCCGAATTCTATGACAGAGAAGAGAAAAAAAAGCCCTTAACAATACGATTTGGAGAGCTGTTACGCGATTTTCGCTCACTCCTATTAGATTCTGTTTCATACGATCTCTCTTCGATCTCCACCGGCAGATCTGTCCTTCGATCCTCTAATCCCACCGACGCTTGTTTGCAGGTTTTGATTCTCGCAGTCTGGTCTTCTGTGAGTCCGAATTCGATCTCGTCTTCTTTTCCTTTTTTTTTTTTGGCGTTGAGTTTGTTTTCTGCATTCGTACACAGAATTTCTAGGGTTTTGATTGGAAAAACAGCTTCTTGGAGGTTTAGCTCCTGATGTATTGCTTCTTGTTCGGGGTTTGGTACTTTGTTATGATTTCAATTCTTACTTTTTTGATAAAGATGTGTGCTGTTGTTCATCTCGCAACTGACCTGTTGTTGATTCAAGGGGTTTGTAATTACTTCTTTGATACGAATATTTCAAATTGCGGTTGAACATGATTTTCCTTTCGTGTTGCATTTCCCCAATGATATTTTGTAGATTTTGCTCTGGATTAGCTAGTTTTAGATATTTTATTCTTGATTTGTTATGATTTCAATTCCCATTTTTTGATAAAGATTTTTGCTGTTGTCCATCTCGCAACTGATCTATTGTTGATTCGAGTGATTTGGAGTTCTTTATTTGATATAAATATTTCAAATTACAGATCGGACATGATTTTCCTTTTGTTTTGCATTTCCCCAATGATATTTTGTAGATTTTGCTTTTGACTAGCTATTTTTAGATGGTTTTGATTCTTGATTTGACCTTTCTATTTACATTTTTGTTATTTCTACCATTTCATCTTTAGTCTAGGTCGTGGATGGGTTTAAGTGCTTGCTTTTTATAGTTTGAGGTGGTTTGTTTTAAACATTTGGTAGATTTGGTTGGTATTGGGGTTTCTAAACTTGTGGTTACTGTAATTTTATGTAATTCAGCTAAGACTTATTGTTTGTGAGTTGGTGGCAGTAAAAACTATTCATAACCTTGAGACTTTGCTACTTTCCTTCAGGTGCTTGTTTGAGGATTGGTCAGAGTTGTATTGGTTTTCAATAGATACCAGTGTTTTAACGGGATCTAGATTTATTTGGATCAATATATTAACAAGGCTATCATGATTTTGGGCCGTTTTAAATTTACCTTATAATCTAGCTTCTATAATGATGTGGTTAAGATTAGGTATTTGTTTGTTTATTTTGTACAATATGCTTTCTTTCACTCCTCATTTGTTTTTTGATTGGAATTATTTTCATTTTGCTTATTCTTATCTAGGAGTTGTTTTTACCATATTTTCTTTTGTAGTTTCTTTTTCTTATGCTCTGTTGTAGATGAATTTGTCTGTCTGGGGATTTACTATATGTTTTTGTTTTCTTCAACAACACTTGTTTCATTTCTCTTTCTGCAGCTTTCTATTCAACATTATGGTGCTTGTAGGAAAACCTTTTGTTGCTTGTTGCGTCTTTTAGTCACTTGGTAATTCTTTCTAGTTGCTTAATTGTAAATAGCTTCTATTACAGGTGATGCTTTGAGATTGTATTGCAGCGCACAAAATTTCTGGTGATATTCAATTCAAGGGATTTGTGCAGTTAGATTGCAGTGACCATGAAGAAGGCATTTGATCAAACTGTTAGAGACCTGTAAGAAAATCTCCTCATAATGCTTACTTTCTTAGTCTCATTTGCTGCATGATATTGAAGTTTGCCTTACATTGAGAATATGATATGTTTCATAGCCCTAAAACTGGTGCTTAGACAGAAAAGTTGGAAATAGAGAAAGGAAAAAGCAAGGAAGAAATGTATCAGATGTGCACTGATAAAATAATGGATTTTTAACATGGAAATACCATGCTAACTAAATTTCTCATGGCTGGATTGGGGACCTTCCATTTTATTTATTTATTTATTTTGCATGTATTTTCTTTCTTTCCATCTTGGTATGACTGTCTATGTGGTGTATAAATATGTCCAGCAACATTAGAACTAATGGTATTCTTTGTTTGCAGCAAGAGAGAGGTGAACAAGAAAGTTCTGAAAGTTCCTGGAATTGAACAGAAGGTAGAACCTTGAATTTTAATTGATCCATCTAAGTTTATTTATATTGCTGTCTAATCAACAACTTTTGCTTCTAAGTTATAGTTCTTCGAGGTCAAAGGCATAAAACATGGATGTTTTTCTTGTTTTATTTTGCAGGTTCTTGATGCTACTAGCAATGAACCATGGGGTCCTCATGGATCTCACCTAGCAGATATTGCACAGGCTACCAGAAATTAGTAAGTTTCTGCAAGAAAATATTTGCCATTTGGCCTTTCTTATTGTTTCTTCCTAGAGGTGTTTATTTTCTGTGAATCTATGCAGTCATGAATACCAGATGATAATGGCAGTCATCTGGAAGAGGATAAATGACACTGGCAAGAATTGGCGGCATGTGTACAAGGTTTGCAACATTGGACTTTGTGTATCTGCATGGCCATTTAGTGAATTCTTGTTATTACTTAATCGTTTGTTAATTTGATTACACAATCAACAAGCACAAAAGATATATATTTTTTTGCTGGTGCTGAATAACTCTTCATATGGGGCTTCAGGCACTGACTGTTTTGGAATACCTAGTGGCTCATGGGTCAGAACGTGTCATAGATGAGATCAGGGAACATGCATACCAAATATCAGTAATTTCTAATTCTTTAATTCCTTTTATTGATAAATAATTCCTTAGTTCCTTTTTGATAACTTTAATCTTATAATTAGAGTTTTCTGCAACTTTTGCCTATTACATGGTGATAGTTGTCTACATACTTGAGGTAATAATGAGAAGTTATTCCTCATTTTGCAGACATTGTCTGATTTTCAATACATTGATTCTAGCGGGAGGGACCAAGGGAGCAATGTCAGAAAGAAATCTCAGAGTCTTGTCTTACTAGTGAATGATAAAGAAAGAATTCAAGAAGTTAGACAGAAGGCTTTTGCTAACAGGGACAAGTAAGTCCACTTTTATGGTTGACTTTGATGAATGTTTTTGTTTATATGCTTTATCAGAAACTCCTACAAATTTCTAAACAATGTCTAATTTAAAAATGATAAAATACTTTCACAGGAGATTTGTCGAAGATATTGATTCTTCTCCCCATTAAGCATTCTATAGATATTAGGAACTGTTTGAATAATTTCCTTGATTTTGGTGTCTATAATGTAATGAGTAAACTACCTATGTTTTTTATCTAATAAATGGCTTCTAAAGTGTTGCTTGAATTTACCTTACTGGCAGTTGTCTAGAGAGATATTTCTGACATTATGTTCATATTTCGTAGGTTTCGCAGTGTATCCTCAACAGGTGGAATGTATAGGCCCAGTTCATATTCGCCTACAGGAGGATATGGTGATCGTTATGATGATGACCGTTATGGAAGTAGAGATGATGACCGAAATGGCTATGGGAGAGAAAGAGAAAAAGAATGGGGCCATAGGGATGATGACCGTTATGGTAAAGGTGGGGACTCATATAGGGATGGAGATCGTTATAGCAAGGACTATGATGACCACTATAGTAGAGATGGTTACAGGAATGATGATTACAGGGGTCGAAGTCAAAACAATGATGACTATCAGTACGGCTCAAGAAGTAGGAGTTCTGATAGAGATAAAGAACGCACCTTTGATGATGATAATCGTTATTCATCTCGGTATAAATCTACTTTCCATGACCAGTCTCCATTACTGTTCTGACAAAAAAAACATTTGCATTTATGTTTATAGAACTACTTAACTCTCATTTGCAGTGTCATTGTGGAGACCAATTCTTTTTTAATTCATTGATTGCAGCATAAGTGTCTCATTAGATGCGTTTCATGTCATTATTAGATCTGTTCATGGGCCGGCTCGGGCCAGGCTCAGGCCGGGCTTTCACTCTTAACAGATTTTTTTAAGGCCCGAGCCCGAGCCTGAAGTCTAAAGTTCATGCTGCTGTTATCGCTGAAGCGGCTGAACAGAGAGAGAGAGATTATAAAGAAAAAAATAAAAATTGTATATATTAAATTATTAATATATATATATTATGATAAATATTATATATTTTATATTATATAAATTAGTCGGGCTTGGTGTTTTGGGCCTGAGGTCAGGCCCACGGGCCTAACTACATGACCAAGCCCAACCAGGGTGTGGACCGGGCCGTCGGGCTACCTGGCCCATGAACAGGTCTAGTCATTATGTTGTGGTTTCTTTGAGTCAATAATATGCTTACTGTTGCTATTTCTATTTTGTTGACTTTCATGGTCATTTCAATTGTTTTGTTTTCTTATTATAGAAGCAGTGGTGCCAGGGCTGAGGATTATTCTCAAGATGTAAGGTGAAGCTCTAACTAGAATTGCATGCCAACTACCATTTTGCCTACTTTCTTGGATGTTATGTTTCCAGTTTTCAAGGTAATCATAAATGCAATTAGATCTTTCAGCACATATAATTTCTTTGTATTTTTTTCCTTAACAGGCGGCTTGAGAGGAAGTTCTCTGAACAAAATATTGGTGCTCCTCCTAGTTATGAAGAAGCAATAAATGATGCTCGTGGTCCTGTTCACACTGAAAGGTATGTTATCTTGCATTATCTTCTAATTTCAGCCATTCTTAATTATTTCTAATGTTCTTCTCAATTAAAGGGATGGAGAAACTGCAACAGCAGCCCTTCCTAAAACATCATCTCCACCTGGAAGCACAAGTCAGATTCAAACCAGTGCTGCTGTGCCGGGTACTTCTGCATCTCCTGCAGACCAGAAAGTTAGTGCTTTTGATGAATTTGATCCACGTGCTTCAGTTTCAGGTAGTGTTTTTTTTTTTTTTTTTTTTTTTCTGGGAATTTAAGAAAATTTTATATTTTAATTTACAATTTTTGTCAATTGTTCAATATTTTTTTTCTGGGTCCTTAAATTTACTACAGCTGGAGATTGGCCACCGTAAAATATTAGTTATATGAGACAAAGGGATAATGGTTATCAGTGATTTAAAAGGCATGCCTAGGCCCAGGCGCAGCCCCTTTCAAAAGCTGTGAGCTTGGTGTGCCTAGGCATGTGTGTGGTGTGACTTGTGCCTCAGACCAGGCATGTGCCTTGGTCTAATTTTGCACTTTTTGCCCCTTTTGTTAATGCTGTTCCTTCATCCTTTAATACAATACATTTTTTTTTCAAAAGATAAGGAACTATAGTTAAAATTACACAGTCAATGTTAAATGTGTGGGTTAAGAATTTTAAACTGTAGCATGGACTTGTTTGGGCTTGTCTTAAGGGGCTCAGTGTAAAGCAGCTTGTAGAATCAGGAGTACAAGATGTTTAACATCACATTAGCTATTTAAAGTAATGTGATTGGAAAAGAAATAAGGAGATTAAAAGTTTCACATGCTTGAAATTCTTTTTACATTTTCACTTTGAATATGTTTAATTTTGTAATGTTTATGTAATTTAATTTGAGCCAATAGGCTCATGGTTCAAAGTATCGATATGCCTCTGCGTATCGGCAGAGGTGTATCGGTACTTTGAACCATGCAGAAATATTTTTTTACTTTTTTTTCAAAATTTAGTTTTTGGGTAGTTTAATACCCATATTTTTCATTATAAAATAGTGGGGTCCCAAAACACCTGTAAACAGGCGTATTGGGACCCCAAAGATACGATACGATACACCCGATATGAGGCGTATCATATTGATTTTTTGAACCTTGAATAGGCTTTTTAAAAGATTTAGTTCAAATTTAACTTTGCATTTTTCTTAATTAATACTATTTTAATATTTTTATTTATTTTATTTTTTGCAATTTTCTTGAGTTTTTAAAAGAACTTTGTGCCTTGCTTCAAAAGGCGCACTCTTGCCATGTGCCTTGCGCCTTGGGCATGAAAAACCCTTTGTGCCTTAACCCAATTTCCCATATGTGTTAACCTCAAAAGTCTTCCCTTCCCCAAAGAGAAAAAAGTACATAAATGTTGAAAGAGGGCCATGGACCTTAAACCCAAGCCTGACTTGTTATAGAATGTAGAAAACCAATACTAAGAAGACATCTATCCCATATCAGGGAGACCTGAATTATCCATGAACATGGTTCCTTTTATTTTCTATGGCAAAAGTAACCAATTCCAGAAGGTTTCTTAATTTTGAGGTTCTGCCCCTTGTCTGGATAGACCATCTGCCACCATATCCCCATTGTCTGAAGTCATGTTAGTTATTCTACTTGATTCTGTTTGGGAGCATATATATCTTCCTCGTTTAGTGGGTATGTACTGTGTTTTTTTGTCCTCTTCGCAAAATCTACCAAGAAGCTTTAGTCTGTTATGATGCTTTCTGTGTGCTGGGATTAGATTTGATATAGCATTTGAGCCCATCCAGGAATGCTCTGCATTTCAGTGACCTGGTTGGTAGTGTTACTGTAACCACTACTAGAGCTGCTATCACTCTTGATGCATTCTCCGACTAAACTTGGCCTGGTTTCCCCTTGAAGCCTCAGCAACATTGGTGCATAACTTTCCTGTATGTAAAATCAAGGTTCAAAGTATTGATACAATACACATTTCGGCCATATCGTATCGGTACTTAGAAACGGCCGAAACACCTTTTTTTCAAAGTTTGGTTTTTTGGGAAGCTTAAAACGTGCTTTTTATTATTAAAAAAAGTTGGGGGTCCAAAACACCTGGAAACAGGCGTTTCGGACCGTATCTTTTTCAAAAGATATGATACGATACGCCCGATACGGGGCGTATTGTATCGATACTTTAAACCATGTGTACAATAACATGGTCATTGTGGTATGTGGGATTTGGTTGGGTTCTCTCTATAGAGGTTGCTCTAGGGTATCCATCAAAAGTACCTAGTTTCAGGCATTGATGTTTCTCTGTTTGCTTTTTGTTGGATGCTATGCCAATGTTCGTTATGCTGTCCATGTCTCCATGATTGATGTCTCATCTATGAATTGTCATCATGGAATTTATGCTATTTTTATGGAAAGGTGGAAAGCATTTTCTCTCTCTCTCTCTCTCTCTCTCTCTCTCTTTCTCTCTTTCTCTCTCTCTCTCTCTCTCTCTCTCTCTCTATATATATATATATCATTAACAAAATCACTTTCATTTACTCATCAAAAAAATAAAATCACCTTCATTAATTAAGAAGAAATTCAGTACAATAAAAAAGAAAGGAAGAGGGAAGGGATAAACACTGTTAGCCCTCCCTAACATAAAATAGAGTTACAACACAACCCAAAATAAACTATTCCCGTTTTTTAGCTAGTGTATCAGCAAAGGCATTTGCATCTCTTTTGACCCAATTGCAAGCCACCTCTGTTGTAACAATTTAATGGCTTTCTTCTTCTCACATGTATAGCACCACCATCCAGCCTCCTCTTCTTTTTGGAGCCAGCTTATTTAAAGCTTTAAACACCTTCAGTTAACAATTTTCTGATATTCAGCTCCTTAGCCTTTTGAATCTCTTCCATAACCACCACAATTTCAGCCCTTAAAAGAGTCCCCAATTCCAATTGGACCTGAGTAGAAGGGAATGACATTTCCCTCCTCTTTCCTAAACACTCCACCTATGCTAGATGGACCTGAATTGCCTTGATTGCTACCATCAAAGTTGAGCTTAATAAAACCTCTAGGGGGTGGGGACCGCCTCCATAAAGAGGGCAGAAACAACTGCCTCTCTCCAGAGACATCCTTGAATAGACCCAAGGACTTCACCCAGTGGACCACCATGGTAATAGCTTTAATGATAGTTTCTCCACTTCTTTCTTTTTAAGAAATATTCTCTGGTCCCTCTCTTCCCAAATTGTCCAACAAACCACTGCCCTTGTACACCTGCAGAGCATTATTCCCCTCTTATTTGACCATCTTACAAACGTAGGAGCAAATAAGCTTTGTACATTAGGCGGAGGGTTCCACCTACACCCAAACAAAGAAAAGAACCATTCCCAAATTGAAGAAGAAAAGGGGCAGGAGATTAGTAAGTTATAGCAATTCTCACCATTAACTTTGCAGAGGGAGCACTAGTGGCGGGAAAGGCACGAATTAGGTCTTTTTCTTTGCAGCATTTCATAAGTCATAAATATTAATTCTATCCAGGTGCCTTTCCCGGCACAAACCACCCACCCTATGCGGGGCAGGTTTACTCCAAATCTTTGTATGTTTGATAGCCGAAAGAAATATATCAACATACAAGGTACTTAGCCTAATGGTCTCTCCTAATGAAAATGCCAAGGTCCTTAATGAATAGTCTTTTTGTAGATTGAATTTATCTTTACAAGCACTCTTTTATGCTTTTCTTTTCAGTGGCTCAACTGGTTTCTCATTGTTCCTGCCAGTTATACCAGGGAATGTCTTGTGTAAACCTAGTAAACAACATTGCTGTGATTATCTATCTAAGAAACTTCAAGATTTTCTTGTTAAGGACATAATAATCAATATATCAGAGATCCATATGCCCAACTGAACATAGATCCTGGCAAAAACTATGTTGAGTTTGACTTTATGAATTTGAGATAATAGTGGCAATGCAGTCTTTAGTTTCTTCGTTAGACAGGATAATGTTATTCTAGATGCGCTATTTTAGTAGGTTAGAGACAATTGCTGAGCCAAAGACTGCTGTTGCATAGTTATCCTATAAATGCATTGTCTAATACGCTATTTTGTTCCATAGGCTAAGTGTGATTTTGCAGAATTAACTGTCAATGAGGCAATTATTTCACTTTTTTTCCTACTATCTTGTCTAACACATGTTTGCACCACTTGTTACTGTAGCACTGCATGATTATGGGCCTTAACCTCAATTAAGAAAAACCATCTATCTTTTGCAGTTTTGAGTGTAAAGCTCAAAATTTTAGTTGTAAATATTTCCTCCATGAGGAGACTGCGTGACCTTTGAAACTGTTAAGATAATTTCTCATTAAGGATCATGCTATCTTTCTTTATTCACTAGTGAGTATATAATTTGGAGCAAAATTGAGATGTCTTAGCTTTGATGTCTTTAATTGTAATTCTACACTGAAATAAGTTATGTGCAGAATATAGGGGTGGATTTGAGCTGAACTGAACCGAACATCTGGCCATTCAAGCTCAACTTGGTAGAAAAACATCAGGCTTGAATTTGGGCTTGTGCTCAATTCGAGCTTGACATGAGCTTGAATTTGGCTTGACTCAAAAGCTTGTATGTTCGAGCTCAGCTTGGCTCAAGCATGATAGTAAGCCAAGCTTCATGTTATGATTCGGCCTGCCTTAGAATTCTATCTATCTGAGATCGGTTAGGTAGAAAGAGGTAGAAAGGTGGAAGAAAGAGAAAGAGAGATGGGGAAATTCTGGTTCGAACTGGAAGTCTCAACATGACCTTCTCCCAGTCGGCCAGACAGAACTTATGTTATTTAAAATGATTGAAAAGACATATGTGCCCTTATTTAAGTTAGGAGCAYYRGTTCCAACACAACATTACAGATCAGCAACATTAATCTAGGTATAAAGACAGAAATACCCCTACRCTAACACTCCCCCTCAAGCTGGTGAGTATATATCATATACTCCCAGCTTGTTACATATGTAGTCCACTCTTCCCCGACTCAAGCCTTTTGTAAATAAGTCAGTCCACTGATTTCCTGTATTAACATATGTAGTGTCTAGTTCTCCATTCAACACCTTCTCCCTCACAAAGTGACAGTCAACTTCAATGTGCTTGGTTCTTTCATGAAACACCGGATTAAAGGAAATATGAACTGCAACCTGATTATCACAATAGAGCTTCATTGGAGTGTTGATGTTGTACCCTACTTCCTTTAGAAGGTTCCTTAGCCACACTAAT